CACTGTGTTCCTGAGCTGACCCTCCCCTGCCCTCCCCACCCTCTGCCTGCTGTGCGTGTGGCCTGAGAGCCTTCGGGTGTATAAATTGCTGCACCGGCACAGGGGCTTGCTCTCGCCGGGAGCCAGAGCTGGACACTCCCTACCTGGCTCCCCTGCAACCCCAGGCTTTAGGGGAACCTTGGACCCCCACCCTCCATGTCCCTCCTGGGTCCTGCAGTCCCCACTCTCCTGAACGCCGTGAGTTCATAGCTAAGTCGGATTTCTAGTCCATGGAAAGTCATAGCCAAAGTAGATCGTGTCCACTGCTTGAGTTCATGAGAGGGGAAACTAGCTGGAGTGGGGAAGACCAGGTCAAGACCACACAGAAAGCCAATAAGGGGGACTAAGCCTTAACTCAGCCAGCTGTGAGAGTCCGTCCATGTCCTTGGACTGGGAATTGGACCTGGGTCTTGAATGTTGATGCCAACCTGTTCCTAGACAATGAAACTTGAACTTGGACCTGAACCTGTAACTTCAGACATTTATCATGCTACTATACCGCAAGCCTGGTCCTAGATCTGAAGTTGGACCGGATATTAGACCTTGATGCTGGACTGGGTATTGGGCCTGAACCTAGACTTTGAACCTCTGACGTGTCAGTAACCTGGACCTTGGACCCAGACTAGGACCAAGATGCCAGGGGAGGTGGTGCTTATGGGTGATGCAGATGGGCCTGCGGCATGTCCTTGGGCGTCTCCCCCGCCTTCTCTGGGCTCCCTCTGCCAGGGGACTGGTGCAGCAGCCCTTTTGCAGCCCTGCTCCCCAGATGCTCTTTCTGAGGCGTGGGGTAGAAGATTTGCAGCAGCTGGGGCACTCGGCCTTGCCTAGAGCGACTACCTGGCGCCGACAGAGGGAGTGAGAGGAAGTGGGCGCTGGTATAATGTGGTCGACTAGATAAGCCCATGGGTAGATGTAGGCGCTCTTCCTCAGCGTGCTGGCGGGGGCTTACTGTAGCTGCAGAGAGCAGACAACTGCGCTATTGGATTGGCATCGATCCCTCCTCTGCCTGGGTCGGATGCACTCTGAGAGCGTACAGGGGTAGCACAGGGCCAGGGTGCAGAGGGAGGGGGCCCCGGCACCCAGCTGGGGTTCAGAATTGAGTGTGAGAGGAGATGACCCTCCAGAAGATGTCCTTGGCAGGGGCCCCGAGACCACCAACATGCAGATGGATGAGCAGCTGCCTTCTCTGGGGCAGCTGAGAGTCCCTGCGTCCCCCAGGGCGGGGGCCTGGGGCCACGGCGGCTGGGCTTGGTGGAAGGCGAGGTTCTGAGAGGGTTGGGAGGATGTGAGTTGGCAGCTCACCGGGAGATGGAACCGATGCTCGGATTCACCCAGGGGAGAAGCAGGAGCCGGAGGAGCAGGGGAGGAAGAGCAGCGTTTTATCAGAGGGGACGCGAGAGCAGAGCTTGGCTCCTTGTCTGGGGGAGCTTTGCAGAGAGATCTGGATGATTTTCCAGATCTGAAAAGGAAGAGAGTAGGGAGGCAAAGAGCATTGTTCGTGTGTGTGTGTGTGTGCGTGTGTGTGTGTGCATGTGTGCGTGTGTGTAGCCCTCCAGGAATTCTGCGGCATTCCCAGGCATTTCTGGAACAGGGGCTACATCTCTCCTTTAGGGTCCTGTGTCTGTGAGGAGCCTGTGGCTTCTCTGACCCCCACATTCAGAGGTTCCCTCTGTCCCCTCCTCAACCTCCTGCCCCGCTGCCCCCCCACCCCCGCCTGCCTCAGCCTCAGCCTCAGCCTCAGCCTGACCCTGCAGCCAGAGCTGCAGGAATGGCTTGTAAGAGGATCTTTCTAATAACTGGAACTATCTCCAGCCCCAGGCCCTCCCTCCGCCCACACTCCCTCCCTCCCTCCCTCCCTCCCTCCCTCTCCTCCTCTCCCCCCTCCCTCCTCTCTTTCTCCTTGTTTACCCAGCACACTCACACACGCTGGGAGAGAAAAACGTCGGCTCAGCAATTTTTCGCACTTCCCTCAAACGCTCAGCAAGGTTATTTCCGGCAGAGCGGAGACAACGGACCACCAGGAGCCCGGCTCTCCCCGGACCCTCAGCACTGCCCCCCTTACCACTGGCCCATGGAGTGAGGGAGCCCTCACTGCCTGGTCTGGCCACACCCAGGGGGAGAAGAGGCCCCGGAAATGCACCAAGGTGGCCTGTGTTTCTTGCTCATGCCCAGGCTCAAAGGGTCACAGTCCCCGCCACCCCTCATCCCTGGCCCTGACTGTCTGATGCAGACACTGCCGAGGTGGCCTGGTCAGGGTGACTGTCCTCACCACAGATCGGCCAGCAGAGACTGAAGCCCAGAAGAGTGCCTGATCCCAGAGCCCCTGCCACCCTGAGCCACAGCGTGTGTGCTCACAGTTCCCCAAGGAAACCCTGCCCACCAGACCCTCTGTCACATATCCCCACGCCTGCCACGCCACACTTGACCTTCACAAGCTCAACGCGTCAGAGTTGGGAGGATGCTTAGTTCATGGCATCTTTCACTGCCGGGAGGCTGAGGACCAGAGGCGGGGAGGCACTTGCCCAAGGTCACACAGCAAGTCAGCCATGTGCAGCTCAGGCTTCCCACGTCCCGGCCAGGCGTGCTATGAGGACAGCCTCAGGAGTCCCCAGAGGCCAGGGCTGGAGCCCTGTGCAACTATAGGGACAAAGACAAAGGTGGCCCTAGGATGTCAGACCCCAGGGGAACTCCACAGCAACACTGCTGTTGGTGGTACTGCCCCTGCCCTGCTACCCACCCCTCACTCAGGGGCTCCTTTGAAAGCTTTTTCTTTGGACTGAATTCAAGGCAAGACGTCGCTTCCCGACCCCCCCAGGAGCAGCCTGCAGTTCTGGCTGTGTGTGGGAAATTCTCTGGGTTTCCTCAGCTGGCCTGAGGAGAGGACCGGAGGGGCCTCAGGGAGTGGGAGCCCAGTGCTTGGTGTCAGCCCTGCTGGACCTGTTTCCCAGTCGCACAGCTATGGTCCCTTCTCCCAGCTCCTAGCACACACTCCCCAGCCTTGGCGTGGCCCCAGATGGCTCAGTTCTGTTCTGCTAACTCTCAGCCCAGCCCAGCCCTATTCGTGGGCTTCTGCCTGTGGCCCCAAGAGGGTCAAGAACTGAGGACAGTGGGACATGGAACCTGCAAGCAGAGAAGGAGCTTTGCTCCTGGGGATCTGGGAGAGGCCAGGGGCCGAGGGGCTGTGGCTGCATCCCTGCTCACTCCTCAACTTCTTTGACCTTGATGAGGTCACACAGCCCTTTGCCCAGCACCCTCTCTCTGCCTGGCTTGGCAGAGTGATGGAATGTGGCCAGTGCTTGGAAATCCCTGAGGTGGGAGCCCCCACCCTCCCGGGCTCCTGTCTTTGCCGTCTCAGCTCCCCCCTTGCCTCCAGCCCTTTCTTCTCTCCTCTCCCTCCCTCTCTCTCCAAAGCTGCTGCCACATGTGATGCCAGATATCTCACTGCCAAAGGGGGCACGTTCTTTGCCGGCACCTGCGGTGCTCGGGGACCCTCAGAGGAGAACCCCGTTGTGATCCCCCGGAGGCAGATCGGGACCGCAGAAACAGCCCCTGCTGCTTCTCCCTGTGCTCCCTGTGCACCCCTTTCTGGGTCTGAACGACCTCTCTTGTCCCCCACACCCTCGTCCCTGCAGAAACTTGCTCTGAGAAGAGGTGGAGTGGGGTGGGGGCGGGGGAGGCTGACAAGGAGCAGCAGGGTTGGCTGTGGAGGGGGTGAGACGCTGGAGGTGGGGAGGGAGGGAAGACCGGGGACTCGGGAACCACTTTGGGGGAACCCCTTCCAGGAACCCTGTCTCCCTGGCAGTCCCCAGGACAGACCCAGCCTTTGGCAGGCATGCGGAGAGGGTAACAAAAGAGTTGTTCAGTGAGGGGGCCTCTTGTGGGGGTCTCTTGTGGTCTGGCACTGCTGGGGGAGCAAATTTAAAGGTGCCCCCAAGACCACCCCCGTCCCCAGGGACTGCCAGCCCCAGCGCCTTACCTCCCCCACTAGCAGGGCACACACACCGGGTCTCTCCCTGTGGCTTCACCTTGCCGGTGCATTGCACCCCCGACCACCCCACCCCCCCGCGCGCGCCTCCCCCCACCCCTCTCGGCTCTGGCCCCTCCCCAGCTCCCTCTGTGTTTCTCCTCACCCCCTCACTCCAGCCCCATTCTGGGGCCATTGTTTCAAGTCTCGGCTGGCGCATGGATGCAAGGTAGGCGCCCCTGGGACTTTCCATTTGAACGACCTAGTCCATGACGCCTGCGGCTAGCTCCGGAGAGACACGGAGTCAGCTAAAAGGAAAGGCACCGCACAGGCACTGAGGCACCTCGATTTAGTGGATGGAAACGAGGCTGCTCCAGTTTGATCTGGAAATCTCTTGTGCATCCCTTACTCCTATGAGCATGAGGTAGTACAGCTACTTTTCCAAATACAAGCATTAAAAATTTTCATCTACAACCTGAGGAACTGTCAATATGGCCAAAATTGTTTATCTGAAGGGTACCTTAGAACAAGATGGGAATATAAGTTCAAACATCCACTTATTTGCATTTTTTCATTGGTATAAAATGCATAAAAAGATCAGATTTCAAAATGGTGGCCTTAAGATATTCTTTTGGTCAAAGTAAAAGAAAAATGTAGGCTGGCGCCGCAGCTCAATAGGCTAATCCTCCACCTAGCGGCGCCGGCACACCGGGTTCTAGTCCTGGTCAGGGCCACCAGATTCTGTCCCGGTTGCCCCTCTTCCAGGCCAGCCCTCTGCTGTGGCCAGGGAGTGCAGTGGAGGATGGCCCAAGTGCTTGGG